TGGTATCATCTGGGCTGGTTCATCTCGCATCACCCACGATCTTTTCCGATTAACGTTGCTATAAACTATCCACTTTTCGTCACCAGTAATCCGTCGTTTCAGAAATGGATCAATATCGTTGCGTTTCAGAAGTGAATCGCAAATGCTAATGCATTGCGTCAAATGAATTTCCTTAAGCTGATGAGGGACCCATAAATCCAGTTTCTTAACATAGCCAAGCTGTTTTAATTTTTTTTGAATGCATGTATGCGATACGTTGAGCTTCTGTGCAATCTCACATGTTGTACTATGACGATCTGAATCGATAATGGCCTTGATAAGGGTCTCATCAACTTCAACTGGACGGCCAGATCGTTGAGCATTTTTTAGTGAAAAATCACCAGAACGTAATTTGGCAAACCAATTTTGACACTGCCTTTCTTTCAAGGCTTCATTCCCATATAAGGCACATAGCTTCTTGTATGCTTGTGATGCATTCTTGACTTTTCGGAAATAATACAATAAAATATGTCTGAAATGCACATCTTGTTCTTCCATTTTTAAATTGGGAAAAAAAACGAAACTAAATAACTAATCGATACAAATTTTTTACTAAATTAAAGGTGGAAGTCCAAACAACAAGAAAACAATATAGGTTAAATGTTTTGAACACGATGACAAAGCAAAAAAATGTGCTAAGGCCACCTATTGACAAAATCCACAATCACTTAGTTGCCAACCCTATATTACATAAGAAAAAAATAAAAACTTTTTTGATTTATTTTAAAAAGAATCAGAAGCTATTGATAATTCTATTGGGTTTGAATTGAAGATAGTTTCTGTCTTAACTCAAAGTTAAAATCAGAAAATAAAGAGGTAACTGTTGTATCAGAGAATCTAAAAGAAATTCTGGGAGAAACAGAATTACTTCAAGATAGTTTTCTAGTAAATGAATTTTTTAAAAGGAAACACGAGATTAGTTTAGATGAATTTTAAATCAAGATCAATATCACTTCAACCACAAAATGGTAGAAGAGTGAAAACTTTGTTGTCTTCAGTAACAAAACTGGTATAATTTATTTAGGTTTAAAAAAATTATTATTGAATTTCTTAGGTTCTATCACCTTTACACTCAATTATTCAATGTAATTAATAAATTAGCTGGAATATTTACCATAAAAATTTACCTTTAATTTTCTGACTTTTGTTTTATGTTAACAGGTACAGTAGAACCTTGATTAATTAAATTAATATGGACCAATGCTACCTTGGATAACCAAAAATTCAGATAAAACAGACATCCATGGCTATTTCAGATTAAAAATTACAAATACAGTGGTACTGTACCTCAGTTTAAACATTTCAGAATTTGAATGCAAAATTTGCAAAAAATTTGCCTTGGAGTTTGAACAACGCATTGGTGTTAAGTTTCAAAGTTTGAAGTGCACACTCAATGAAAGAATGCACTCAAAGTGTAAACAATCTGTTTTATGTCCAAGTTGGCTCTTTGTCTTGCTCATATGTATTCAGTACTTTTTCACTTTCTTTTAATTCATTTGTTTTTATATATTTTAAGTTATTTACTGATTTTTAACATTTTCCCTTAATTTTTCTATGTTAGCAGCTTTTGCATGCCCCATACTTTTTGTATCCTTTAGTTCAAAATTTCCCAAATGGAACTTTTTAAACCACATTTGACAAGTTCAAAGTTTAGGAGCATCTAACCCAGGCATGGCCAACATACGGCCTGCGGGTCGGATCCAACCCGTCTAATTAATTTATGCGGCCCGCGATTAATCTTTCAATATTAGCTACTTAATCCGAATATCTTGACGAAAAATTCTGATGACTAAAAAAAAAAGTCAACAACTACTAACTGCGTGTTTAGAGTTACTCCATTACAAATGTCTTCAGCACAGTGTAGAATGTTGATAATGCATGATAATGTGAAAAATGTATCTGTAATCTCTATGTACAATTTAGTCTCTATGGGGTGACACCACAATGAGAACTTGCACCACCTAAAACTCTTGCTAGGGCAGCCTTTGGTTCAGCCTGTGAAAAAGGTTTTCTTTCCAATTTGGCCCGGGGGCAAAAACTGTTGGCCACCCCTGATCTAACCCCACACTACAAATTTTTCTTTACTGTTTGTATGGCATCGTATCCTTTCCAAAACCCATAGAGCATAATATGTCTGATGTTTTTTTATCTGAAGACATTTCAACTTGATTTTATTCAAACAAAATGTGAAGTAAAAAGTTTAAAATAAGCTTCTAAACAAAGAATGCAATCTAATATTATCAATAATGTGTTAAACTCACAACTGTTACAATTAAATCACACATTGGTGCTAAGTAGTGACAACTGTTTAAAAATATGCAAAAATTTTCTATTCAACCCAATATAAATTTTACTTATTAACCATTACATCCAAGAAGTGTGTGGAAGTAATGAAGTCTAAGAGAAAGGGAGTAGTATGGATGATTAAAATTAAAAAGAAGTATGAAAGTAGTATACATGTGCAGGATCCGGTGGCCATGTTTAAGATGTTGAAATTGATGGTGTACAACCAGTAAACGAAATTTTCATTTTATTTATTGTTTTCATGTTTTAATTTACTAGGGCATTTAATTGTATCATTTTTACCTTAAATTATGTATATTTTCTTTTGTAAGCTTATCAAAATGAATATTGTTTAGGATCCACAAATGGGTTAATTCACTTTCCACTATTTCTAATGGGAAAATTTGATTCAGACTTCAACCTGGAATGGATTAAATTAGAAGTACTATGCACCACTGTATAAAAGATTTATTTGATATCACTTTAAAGCTTCTTTTTATATATTAGTGAATTTAATCATATATAAGAACAATAATTTTTACATCATTTATTATACAGCTAATTCATGTATACAATAGTTTTAAGGATAAAAATGTGTATTATTAAACATAGTAATATTTTAATTAAAATAAATGACCTGTTTCACATTGAATTCAAATTATAAAAGCTAACAGAACTAAATCATTTTGTAATGTGTCATTATTTTAAACTTTCTTTTATGAATTACAGTGTAAGAGCCCACCAGTGGCCAAGTGGTTTTGTTCCCTGAACACTGGGAGTTCGATTGTGGGTTTACACTTTGCAGGACAGGCTGACCATGTGGAGTTTTCTGGGTTTTCTCCATGTCTTTAATGCCTAAATAGGGGCCAGTTACCCTTAAAAAGACCTCCCGAAACTTAACAAAACAAACAGTATAAGAAAAGTAGTATATTCACTTATAAGTTTTCCTTGGATAATGCAGACCCTCAGTTAATCAATGCTTGGATAATCAGGTTCTACTATACTTTCAGTTCTTTTAAAGGATCATTTTCATGTTCATTAATATTGTAAAAATTATAAAACTAGTATAAAATAATTATCCAACAAATTTAACAGAATGCATTTAAAGTTTATAATTGAGAAATATAGCTGTTTCCAACAAGTTAATATGTACAGTACTTATGATATTTAAAATTAACCAAACACATAACTGTAAATATCTTTATAAATCATTTTCACATCTCCGTGTAAACACACTTAAAGATAATACTATATTTAAAAGTGTCTAAAATTATATACAAACATTTCATTACTTGTAGAATCAAATTTGCAACAACACAAGAGAATGAAATATATTGGAATCAAGAAAAACTTGTTGAGGTGGTCAGAAATCCTATATTAGCATATAAGTAGATACTGGAAATATGTAAACAGTCCATCAAACATAACTAGCTGGACTGTACTAACAAACAGAACCAAGAGTCTCTTTCATTCTGTTATCCAAAACAATAATCAGCAGTCATCATAAGTAAACTGCATAGAATGTTATGCATATGTACCAATAATAGACATTTTCAGCTATGCTGCTAAACAGTCACATCAGTTTAAGTGAGTTTTACTGATAACAAGTATTTAAGTTAATCTCTTTTTTAATGCTTAAAATGCCTTCAAGTTAACATTAGTGAAATGCACCAGTGAAATAAAAAGTTATTGTCTATGCTGAAGAGTATATATAAATAGGACTACTAAATATGTACTTCAAATCATTTGTATTGTTTTCTAATTTGTTTTACTTAACAACACAATAAGATTAATTATTTTAAAATTTTTCTCTCCACGAAAATCTTAAAATTTAATAAAATCCTATCAACAATATCCTAATCATGCAAATCAACAATATACTAATATGTACTAACAGAATTTTTTTCTAGTCTTAATTTTGGTATAAAGATTAGGATTAGATTTTATTAATGAATGGAATGACAACATAACAGTTGGCAATCTGCCAAGAGGAGGCCTCCAGGGAAGACTTTTCACAGGAAAGTAGCCCTATTTAGGTGTTCAATCCTTGAAGAAAACTCCACATGACCAGCTCATTGATGAGGTGCTAAACCATGACTTTTTATGCCAATTTTCAATGGTTTTATTCACTCGGCCATTGGTGAACAGCTACACAATTAGACAGTAATATTACTCTCCATAAATCATCTAGAAAAGAAACTGCAGACATGCCAGAGAAAAAATAGAAATTTAAATTATGTGGAAAAAAGCTATTTTGAAACATAAAGAACATATATTATCTGATTGAGAAATAATAAAAAAATTGTTATTCCTCTAATTTATGAGATGACATGAGAATTTTTTATTTTTAGTTACATTTGTTATTGATATCATTCATCTTTTTATTTACATTATCCTAAATTTTGAGAATTGTTTTGAATCTCAATACTTATCCTACTGCATGTCAGTTTATTAACCTCATCCCACCTGTAATTATTGCAGCTAATTTAATCTCAAAAGTTTTGCTATAGACCACAATTCACATTGCAAAATTTAGTACTGTAATTTATGAAAATACAAAAATTAGAAAAATTAATTCAACAATAAGCTCTATAATATCAAAGATATATGAAAAACAAGTAATAATAGTTAATAAAATACAACTACTGTAATAAATGTTTACTCTATAAATAACTCACCATCCAATATACCAAGTTTTGGCATTAGGACCTGTCATATAAGCTTGTTCTTCAGGCATATCAAAGACAGCTTCTAAAGATAGAAAATCTGTCTTGTAAGGAAAGAACTGGCACTCTTCTTCCACACTTTGATAAGCATCATCTACATTTTCGTATAATTGCTTAAAAAAACTAAAATTAAAATAATTCAGAGCCGTCCAATTGGTAGTGGCACCTCGAACTAACATGGGCTTTCCCGAATAAGCATATTTGGCAAAAGTAGCTTTGGTCACATTTTCAAAAACAATTACTCTGTCAACATCTCTGCAGATTTTGCAGTCTGTAAGAGGTCGTGTGATTTCCATCACTAAATAGTTATTAGGCACTGCACATCTGGATTTAAATAAATCACTTTGAAGTATTACACCTAGAAGAATACAACATACACATATTATAACTAGTAGATGCCTTTGCAGTTTGTTTTCTTTCTTTTTTCCACGCTGCTCATCCATACTTTCTTTGATCACCTTACACATCAGTTCTGGACTCAGCCCATTTTTCACAGCGCTGTATTTTAAAAGTATTAGTTTTTCTCTATAGGATGAAATATCGGTTTGATCTTTTCTATCTAGGAAACTTTCCATTTTTTGAGAGGAAGACCTTTAGGAAACACAGACGCCTACATGTCCCATACATACCGCCATCTACCAGCAGTGTTGCCAGACTTGCCAATAGGGACAATGCCCTAAAATTTCCCCAAAATCAAGGAATTTTATTTTTAAAATTCTCTATGACAACATATTTGTAGCAAGTATCGGGAAGAATTAATTTTTTTCGAATTATTTTATAATATATTCCACGTTTTATTCAATAATTGGAGTTTTCGTTTATTTACGTGTTTATTATTGACTCTCATGAAAACATTTTAGGATTTTTTTTTTAAACTCTTTCCGCCTTGTAGGCTTCTTTTAGCAAGCCCATTATAGATTCGGTCAGGCCCGCAATGGGGCGGTCGGGTGATGAGGAACTGGGCCCGACATATCCGGACGGACCATCTCCCGAAAAATTTCTGGGGATTTATCGACCCGTCCGGATTCGAATCTGGGCCCTCCGGAGCGGCGGGTTGCCATCTTGACCGCTCGGCCATCCGGCCGTCATCTGTTGGCTATTAAAATTCACCGTTCCGTGGAAAATCGTATACGTAAAAGTATAGAATGAAGAAAACATTAGTAATTCCGACCGGAAATACCCACCTTTAGTGCAATCGTACTTCAAAAATATACGGGCTTTATCATGCGTATTTTGTCTTTACAAAAATTTAAAAAGCAACAAAAAGAATTAATTTTAGGGGTTTTAATTGATAATTAGGGAAATTATAGTGTCTATGGTTGACAAATTGAGTATTCTTCACTAGCCAACGCGCTCAAGACAAAAAAATCTATGTAAAGAACTCGACTTCAGGGAATCGATTCGTTAATTGATCTAAATCGTTTTGCTCTCCCCAAGAAAAAATTTCTGCGTGCCCTTGCTTCATTAACATATTTATATTTTAAAATACGTACTAGAAAATGAAAACATTAATACTACAATAGCACATGTCTGCCATGCTTTATGACAGACATATAGTCATCCACTTTTGTCATATCAAAAGATGTAATGCTGGGGAACCATTCTGAATGGACAGCTGGATGGCCAAGTGGTCAAGGTGGCAGCCTTTGTCGAAAAATCCCCAGAAATTTTTTGGGGGTGGTCTGACTGGATATATTAGCCCCCCATCCCTCACCATCCAGCCACCCTATTGTGGGCTTGGCCAAACCCATAATGGGCTTGCTTAAAAAGATCCTCTTACTGCCCTGTGGGCAGTAAGAGGATCTCTTTAAGCAAGTAAGAGTTTAAAAAAAAACCAGTCTGGATATACATCCAGACTGGTTTTTTTTTAAACTCTTACTTGCTTAAAGAAGATATATATCCAGACTGTTTTTTTTTGTTTTTTTGTTTGTTTTGCAAACTTAAATATTTATGACGATAAATGTAGTTTATCAGGCCATTCACAGTAAAAATTATTCATGTTAATGAATAATTTTTTACAGTATACAGTATTTATCCAAATATTTGAAAGTTTTGGATAAGTTAATCCCCTTTGGATCTGCCACTGTAGCAATGATTGCATACATCTGTATTAGGGTTTCTCATTTCCTGGGAAATTTGCCTCCAGCGGGATTACGGGAAAAATAATTTCTTTTCCCGGGATCCTGGGAAATTCCGGGATGAGATAGTAAAATAGAATTTTATATGGATAAAAAAGATCATACAGGAATATCATAAATTTGAATAATTTAATTTACTTTCTAGTAAGTAACTAAAAGTGTAGGACCAATCTCACCCATACAGACATGTTAGGCTCAATTAATTTATGTTCTCCTACATTATAAGATGAAAGTAAAATAAAGTGTTTCATTGGGAGTTTTAATGATTACGAAAAAAATACTATTTTATTTCTAAAAATGAAATAAAAAATAAACTAAAGTGCTATGAGTGATACTTACTTTCAGCGAGTGCTCTGCTGTTCAATGATGCGCAAATACAATACATAGATATTACATGAACTAACAAGTAGAGACTTGTAAAACATAGGTAATAATATGCAGCATGAAACCTCAAAATTTCTCTCTTAGGTGAGTCTTCAAGATGCAACTTTTCGTATAATAAATAATAGAAAGAAAACCTGACATGATAAATTATTATTGAAATGCGAGATTTTCCGGGATTTTTCTTGTAGGGAATAAACAGCGGGAATTCTGGGAAAACAGGATCCCGGGAAAGAAACCCTAATCTGTATGCAACCATTGCTACAGATGTAGTACATATCTGAGCTTCAACCATTCTCTGATTAATATACAGAAAAGTGATATGGTAGAAAAATGAGCTGTATTACACTGTATCATATCAGTAGACTGATAAGTGTGGTGATATGATATAGGATATGTAACAAATCTGGACCCATCTAAAGTTGTGGAATGTGAACAGAAATTGTATCTGCAGGAGGTAAAAAAATCAATTCTTATGGGTTCAAGGAAACTGTGCATCCCACAAACAGTAGTTTGTGTGTTTTTTGGAAAACTTCATATGAAGCCATAACACATAGCTCTGCTTCAGGCTCCTAAACCTGGTGACCATAACGTATTAAGGGTCTGAAGCAGTTCAATGATGAAAGAACCTTTCGGCGAATTGAATTCAAGACCTGAAGATGAGTGAAGGTGGCTTTTAGGTAAAGGGATATTTGGGGATTAGAAAATCCATGTGAAATTGTTGAACTTCAGTGAATGTCAGAAAAAAAAAATTATGTCTCAGCTAAAAAGAGAACAGTGTAGTTCAGTGTTTCTCAACCTTGAATGAATCGTCGCCCCTTCACTTCAAAGTTCCAATGCCAGAAGCCAACACTAACACCAAATTCGTACTGCATTGAATAGACTAGTGACTAGTATAATGTTATTTGTTTAATTATTGTACGATATAACAAATAAAATATCTAATTATTCTTAATATAATGTTTTACTCTATCACCCAGAAAATTGTTTTTCACCCCCAAAATATAAATTGTTACTAATCGCCCCTCAACATGGAAAAACGCGCACATGGGGTGATATTGCCCCCGTTGAGAAACACTGTAGGTGTAGTTGGATGGGGACCCACCCCATTTTCAAAAGGAGTGCAATTGTTCTTGAACTACCTGTTGCAGCAGTGGATTGGGCATAAAAATGATGCTGATATGAATCTCTGCTGTAGCCAGTTCATTTTCCTGACCTTATACTGATTTTTTTTCTTTGGAGCTATGTGAAGGATGAAGTTTTTCTCTCCTCTAACATCAGACCAATGACAAACTGAAGATATACATTATCAATGCCATCCAAACCATCAAGTAATATGCTACAGCAAATCTAGAAATTGGACTTCAGTTTGATATCTGTAGTGTGGCAAGGAGGGAGCATATGGAACATTTATAACACTAAAAAAAATTGGCAAGTGTAATGACAAATCAATATAAAAATTCTTTTCCTATCTTACAGGTGTAAGTCCCAGTGATATTTATTAACCCTGAAATCATTTTAAAAAGTTCTGTAGTGTATAGGGCTGAAATATTGGAAACTTTTTTCTAGATATATTAATATAAGAATTTTGTTAAATATTTTAATAAATCATTGACAATTAAAACTTATGGAAAGATTACTATCATAAAAAATATTTTTTCTTTTATGTCTTTTTTCAATACCTGATAGACCTACAAATAAATAGGTATCATCTTTTCATCTTTAAAAAGATGAAAAGAAAAAAATCTTGAAAAATATTTTTTTGTTTTAATAATAATTTTATATTTTTTCTTTATTTCAATATATATAAAACAGTTTTTCATTTATTTAAAAATAAATTTTAACATTCACTTATTACAATGGTGAATATATAGTGAAATCATTATTAACAACAACACAGTTTTATTTTAACATAACCATTATGATTAATAATTCCTTATTCATAGAACAAATGGCCCCATATTTTATTTTTTTACTTTTTTCTAACCAAAGGTGGAGTGGCTTTATTTGCAAGAAATCACTATTCTAGTCAAATTTCTTTTCATTACGAAGGCGATATGCTCTCTTTTGCATCAAGTAAAAGTACAATGATGGCCACATTATTCTTATCAGTAGTGCTAATTGAGGTAATAGTGATGAGAGAATTAATTCATTTTTTCTAAGTAGCACTGCATCTATAATGGCATCTGCAACAACATTTGGATCCATTCCTGTACTTGTAGTTTTATCCATAACTATAAAATAAAAAAAGAAAGCTTATTTCTTTTTCCAAATGACATTTTACAGTATTTCAAAAATATTTTATAATCTGACATTTTTCAATAGTCATATTTACTACCTCCATAAGTTGATCCAGTATCAGTGAGGGCATTTATGGATAAGTTAGTTTTAATGTAACCTGGGCTAACAATACAAACATGTATGTTGGTTTCACCAAGTTCTGATCTGAGTACATCAAAAAATGCTTGGAGTGCATGTTTTGAAGCAGAATCTAAATAAATTTTTTTAAAAATTAAAGTAACACACATATCTATTATTAATATGCATTGTAAAAAATAAGGCCACCCCAATTTTTTTTGGAATAATAAAGTTTTATTACACTTAAAAAATTAGCAACAGGAATAAATATAGATGTAAAAGAATTATCTATTCTATTTACAAAATAAAAATATAAATTTTTTTATTCAAAAATTATGGCATTGCAAAAATATAATGCCCGTGGCATTTAATAGCAAGTGAAAGTACTATTTTTCAAAATAACCTTGTTAACTTTATCTTATGTAGAGTTGACAAGATTCTGTAGTATATTTAAATCAATTTTTTCTTATTCAATTACAATTGCAGCTTTGAGTTGTTCAATACTGTGGTATTGTTTTCTCCTGCATACATATCCTTAGCTATTAGACTCCATAGATTTTCTATGGGATTCAAATCACAGGAATAGAAAAGCCAATCCATGACCTGAATGCCATTATCCAGTAATTATTGATAAATGAAGTTTGCAGTGTGGATTGATGCATTATCTTGTTGCAATTGTGAGAATGGACCACCTTTTTTTCTCCAAATGGCAGAAGATATATATCCAAGAGATTCTGATACTCAACTGCCTTCACTTAGCCATTTATGAATGCTAAATTGATTTCCAGACAATCTAAAACCTGCCCAGATTATGACTGAGTCCCTTCTTGCTGATGCTTAGTAAACAAACACTCCTCTCTCCCAAGATTGTGCCAATAAAATTGCCAACTGTTGGGACCATCCAAATTGGTCTTTTTTTTTATCAGTCCAAATAACTTTACACCATGTTGAAGTCCGTGACATTTGTTCTTTGGTCCATATCAGTCTTTTTTGTTGGTGTTGTTTTAGATATAGTATATATATAAAAACAGAAAAGCAGCACTATATGTTTTGTTGATTTTACCATCTGGGACAGTGGATTTTGGAACTTTATCATCAGGCCTAGCATCAGCTATTTCACCAAATTATGTTCTTGTCATCATTATTTCCCAGATAATTGCTGATTTCTTGTCAACTTAGGCCATCCTATTTATTTTTCTTTTTATATTGCACACTAAATTTAATATAATTGGCTACAACATGACAAGATCTCTTCAGCTGGTTTGCAATAGTTCTAGCAGAACTTCCAGCCTGATATAGTGCCCTGATTCAGCCCACTCAGTTTAGGACTTAAGTAATTTTTGAAATGGGTAGAAATATCACAACAATTAATGGTGATATAAATTCAATTATGCCTCTGTTTGCATTTACAGTGTACTGCCATTTCTTTATAATTATTAAATTATAAGTAATAGTGATTTTTTTTGGTCAAATATGCAACAGGCCTTATATTTTTGCAACACCATTATTTTTGATTTTTTGAATATAAATTTATTTTTATTTTTCATTGTAAATACAATAAGTAATTCTTTTACATCTACATTTATTCCTGTCACTAGTTTTTTTAAAAAATTTATTATTCTAAAAAGTTGAGATGGCCTTAAATTTTTTGCAATGCACCTTATTTTACAAGTAAAAAAATCATTTACATGCTGAACGGAAAGGAATAGCTATTTTCCCTTGGATACTGCTAATGGCAATGATGTGTCCATTATTTTGCTTTATCAGAGATGGCAATAAAGCTATAAATAATAAATTATCAAAAGATTAAAATTGTAGTTAAATAATTTTTAAGTGAAATTTTTCTTACCTTTTGTAAGAGTAACATGTCCAAGGTAATTTACCACTAAAATTCTGAGATCAACATCAACTGATGTAGATATAATCTCGCCTCTGTAACTTATTCCACCATTATTAACAAGAATATCTATTTTGCCAAATATATCCAAAGCTTCTTTAGCTTTAAATGGAATCTCTTTTAATTCATTTAAGTCTAAAATTAAAATTGCAGGTTCATGGGCTTTTTCCTAAATATTAAAAATTTAAAAGAAATGAAACATATTATGAATAAGAAACATGTTATTATAACTGAATATTTTAAAAATCTTGTTCACACAGTATTTTTTACAATATAAAAACATTTATATGTACAAGACAAAAGTTCAAAAGCAAAATTATTTTAAAATACACAACTCGCAGGTTATACACAGGAGATTATGGTAATTATTATATAATAAACTTGAAACCAGGTGCAGATTGTGCAATCTAGCAATTTTTTCAGGTTATATGTAGATCTTAACCAATAAAAAACTACACATGAAAATTTGCACACAGAAAGAAACTGTCATAAAAGCACACATGATATATATGTTAATCAATAAAAATCTCAGAAGTATTTATTTATTTCTCTATTTATTTATTTTGAAAAATTATTTAGGGAGAAATTGAAAAAAGTAAATTAATAGGATGTTTTTATAAGGTTTCTCCAAGTTTATTTGATGACACTTTTAACTTGTCCAAATTTTATTATTATTCAGGAATAACGATTACAAAATTATTGTTATACAATTTATTTTTTCTTTAGATACATTTTTATAAGTATAATTCTAAATTTTAAAAACACTTCATCTGCTCATTGAAAGATATATCTGATTGCTTAAAATTATCAATCTGACATTAATTCAATAGTATAACCTGAAAATGGTCTAAAAGACTCAGATCCCTTAGCTTTGTAAACAAACAAATGAAATATAGATAAAAATAAATAAGTATAGGAAAATAATTTGAATGTGACAGATATTATACGTACACATCTCTAAGTGCATTTAACAATTTACTCTTCATCCACAGCACTATTGTCTAGATTCATAGTAATATAGGAGTGAATATAGGTTTATGCATTCTAATTCAGACTCCTAATATCAGTTATAGTTACTCTATTGAGACGTTTATTGTTTAAAGTTATTTATTTATTTTGTTCACATTATTGTTTTTTAACTTCAGTTATTGTTGTTTTTCCTTCTGAATAAAGTTTTGTTGATAAAAAAAAAAGGATTCATTTTCATTTATTGTATTTTTCCTTTACACTCAAGAGCAGTAAAGCCCTCTCCATACTGACCATTTTTATATAGCAATGAATTTATAAGCTCACAACATAACAAAAATTATATGCAAAAAAAAATCACAATGCAAATTGTTGCATATGAATATGAAATATTTTAATAATATTTAAATTATTATTGATATCTTATAAATAATACCTATTCATTCTTCACAAATGGGAGATGAATGGTTATCTACAATTATAAATATCTATGGTAATTGAAATTGAATTTGCAACTTCACCTTTATGTGAAAATTACTTTATGTATGTTTTTCTGTGTGCACAATTTTCTGTGGGTAATTTTTGGTGGGAGCAATGTTCTTGTGTTTTTGAATATTCAACTGATGAAGACCTATAAACTTAAAAAAAACCGTTTTTAACCTTTCATTAAAATTTGTTGCTGGAACATATTTTAAAATGCAAATTTTATATCTTGTGTGTTTTTTTCAAAAAACCACAGGAGATTAAGATATATTGCATTATGATAATATAAAATGATTATCTATTATCCTGGACACAATATTGGACACCATTTAGAACTGAGGGTTGATAAGAGATAAATGTGTCTGAGTTATTTCTACTTTAGTCACACAACTAACAAGTTGATTGGTCAAGATGTTTGGAAAGATTCTTGAAATTTTCAGATCTTTCTGTAAGATTCCTATAAAAAGCATAGCCAGAAGTTCCATCACCACTAGGAAGAGTGATCTTGCATGTGTTCATTATCACTAAAGCTAGGACATTATCCTAAATGACTATTTTGTACCTTTAATTCAATTTTAAACAATTGGGGATGCAAGTTGCAATGTCTTGCTGCTCAGTTAAAAAAGACTTGGCATACATCAAAGTGCTTTTAGATATTCCAAATCATGTCGCTGAACTGGAGAGCAAAAAACTGTTACTAGTGAAAACTATCTATCTATCTATCTATCTATATCATCTACAAAACCAAGAACCCTGCAACTCCTGACAGAGTTGCAGAAACAACTGCAGCCATATATGAAAAATTATTATTAGCCAATCTGGATTTCTTTTCATAAGTAAAATTGCAGAAATTCTATCTGAAATTTGTACATTTACAAGAGACTAAATATTCTCCAAGTGAAATTGATGCATTCAAGTTTGTTCCAAATCACATACTATAATGTAGAGAGAAGTTTCTCATTTTAAAAATATTTTAGGTAATAAAATAATGTCTTTTCTACAGAGTAATTTGGAAAAAGAAGTGCTTGTAGCTTATCAGAATAACAATGTACTTCAAAACTGATTTTGAAATACAATAAAATACACACTGATTTTTTCATTGTTTCTTCTTCCTATTTTTTTATTATTTTTAAAATTAAGCAATATAGTGAAAATTCTACAGTTGAATATTAAAACAAATTACTATTGTTTACACTAAATGTCAATATATAACCTGTAGCACACTATTCTTTGAATCAGTTTGATTAATATTGAGTCTTGATGACCAGATACCTGAGTAGTTAAGGTGGAAGTCTATTGCTCTGGAAACCTGAGAATGAATCTGAATGTGTTGAAAAAACCCTAAGGAATTTTTTTGGATGTGGTTCATCCCTCAGTACCTGGTTGCCCATTGCTGACTTAATAAAAAAACTTCCTCTTACTGTCTACAAGATGGGGGGGGAGAGAGAGAGACTTTAAAAGCCTATTTTCAGTATTAATGCCTACTTATGTTATCTTTAGTGCCTAGATGTTGTAACCTTAATATCACATTCTGCTTATTATGTAACATTTGTTGGAACAATATAGCTTTACCTATAATATAATACAACATAATACAAGCAGTACCAAAGTTGTTTTAGAAATGCCTGTCATTTCCATTTTTTTTTACAGGTATTTTTTTTGAAAGAAGGGGGAACTCCAGGTATCACTCAAAGGTACGACCTGGAGGTTGGGGAGAAAGATAATGAAGTAAGAAGTAAGGTGAAGAATAGAAGGTGAAAGTGGGTCAGAGTGGGGGTTAAAGATTTGAGCCCATGGCACCTGCAATGCATTTATTAACAATGTAATAAGTTTACAAATACAAAACACAAAATACAAGGTACTAGATACAAAATAGAAATAACAGTACGACAGTAGGGTGCACCTGGTTTGACAGCTAAACAAGCCAATTGCTTACTGATTATGCAATTGTTACAGAAGGCAGGAATATAGCTGACAAACAGTTGCTGTTACCAGAAAAACAGGTTAACAATTTGTGTACCAAAATGAAGACATGGGATATTTACATTGAGAGGACGATAATGCAAATGAGGACAATATAATCAAGAAATATAATTACAAGACAAGCAATTAAATATCCTGTACAGTTATAAGTGCATGCGACAGTGGATTGAACAACAGGATGAGAGATAAAGATGCCTAGATATAAGGCAACAGAATAAGCCAATAGCACCATTGAGTGAGAAACCAAAACAATATTTCCAAAAATCTGCTGTTACAAGAAATGTAAGATGTTATATGCAAGTTGGGTGCATACCAGCTAATGTGTGGGTGTGGGACAGGTTATAGAAAGTAAATGCAAAGATGTACAATAATAACAGGCAGCAGTTTTAGCAATAATAACAGGCATGCATGACGAGCAATAATGTATGAACATGGCAAAAAAAAATCAATAAATCAAGATGAATTCAATATAACAAACACAATAACACATTTGTACAGTTAGAACAGTCATTTCCATTAGCAAACGATCATTAATAACATCCATAACTGCAAAAGTACAAAAGAAAACACTTAGATTATCATCTGCCCTAAAAAATCAGAATAGGAGAAATTTATTGCAGAAAGCAAAGACAATGATCAAACAAAATCAGCTTATTGCAAGTCATTGCCTCAAGGAATCATCAGATCTAAATGTATCTTGATATGTTATCCACCAAATTATGCAATGAGGGAATTGACAACTGCTCCTGACCCCTAAGCACAAGCAAGAACATCTGGAATTCATCCAGCACCATTTCTACAAGTGTACTGATTATAATTTAGCAATTTATCAAATAGAAAAAAAAAGCTATTTTCTTTGAAAGACAAGGGCTATAGTGGTTGCTCTATGTCTGTGGCATGTGTTGATGAACTGATTTGTGGTGACTGTTGCATTAAGCAGAGGGTAATGACAGGCATTCTTGGTATATCACTTGGAATAGTGAATCACATCAAAAACAATGAACTTGGGTTCAAGAAAGTGTGTTTTAGGTGGGTGCTTTGTCAGCTGACATTCGACATGAANAAGCACAAGCAAGAACATCTGGAATTCATCCAGCACCATTTCTACAAGTGTACTGATTATAATTTAGCAATTTATCAAATAGAAAAAAAAAGCTATTTTCTTTGAAAGACAAGGGCTATAGTGGTTGCTCTATGTCTGTGGCATGTGTTGATGAACTGATTTGTGGTGACTGTTGCATTAAGCAGAGGGTAATGACAGGCATTCTTGGTATATCACTTGGAATAGTGAATCACATCAAAAACAATGAACTTGGGTTCAAGAAAGTGTGTTTTAGGTGGGTGCTTTGTCAGCTGACATTCGACATGAAACAAGCCCAATTTGTATGTGTGTCAGCAAAATTTGGCATGTTATGAAGCTGATGCTAAATCTAAAATGCTAGTTTACAGAGTACAGAAACCAAATGCTAGTTTACAGAGTACAGCCATACAACCTCCCCTTGTCCCAAGAAGTTCAAGACACAGCCATCAGCTGGAAAAGTCATGATCACCATCTTTTGGGACTGTGATAGTGTGGTGCTGGCTGAATTTTTGGAACATGGCACAACTGTCAACTCAGTGTGCTCTGTCAGATGCTGAAGAAATTGTGCACACATCTGCATACAGTTTGTCTGCAGAAAAGTGCAATCTTTCAACACAATGCTTGGCCTCACAAAAGTCAGAGACAACTGCCACATTGGAAAAGCTGTAGTTTTAGGATGTTTTGACTCACACACTTTATAGCCCAGAACTAGTGAAATGTGACTTCTGGCTCTTCCTGAAGCTGAAGGAACATCTGAAGGTCCTGCACTTTGCATCCAACAAAGAGGTCACCAATGCAGTGCATTAGTGACCTCTTTGTTGGATGCAAAGTGTTCCTTCAGCTTCAGGAAGAGCCAGAAGTCACATGGCACTAGTTCTGGGCTAGTCCAGCTGTTATCAACAGCTGGCCTCATTCTTCTCTGACAACATGCAGAAACTAATGCACAAATGATAAAAGTGCATCAATGCCAGTGAAGACTATATTGAAAAATGAAGTACTCCTTGAAAAGGAGACATCTTTCATTTTGATCAATTAATAAACTAGTTACAGCCCATGAAAAAAACTTATAGAACCTTGTACTTCTGATTGAATCTTATCTGAAGGACCATGGATCAAGTATCAATTTGGTCAGAAATAAAATAGATATAGCAGCAGAATAATGCATTAATACATAAAGCTAGCAAAGCCATCTGGTATGTTTCAGATCAATAATGTGAATGTTCTGCATTAGCTTGCAAGAACTCTCAATCTAGATATAGGAAATCCTCATTAATTTGAACTCAGATGATCCCATTAGTTTGTAATTGTACTTTGAACTATTTGTCCCAGTCATGGATATACAGATTTAATGTTAAGAAATTTGGTTAGTTCAAAATTCAAAGTGAAAATCCTGTCCAAACTGTAATATGCATAAGTCAAGTTGTTTGTTTGCTTAATAATATTCTTATTGCTAAATAAATTAGATCAAAGTTCCTTCATACTATAAGAGAACAATAGATCATGAACAATGCTAATTTGGTCAATATGGTTCTGCTTTTACAGTAATACTTTTGATGTCACCTTACCTTTTTTCTCTTATTCCATAAAATATGGCTGGGTTTCATGAATGCAAGATTGAGCTACAAGTAGCAGATTGAGATATTTGTAGGGCTCTAGGCTATTACATTTGGGCAACTTAACTTTTTGGCCACTTTAAAAATAATTTGGGCTACATTTCAAGGAATTCTGCTTTACTTTTTATAAAGTCTATCTGGCAACTTGTGAGGTCCTCACCAAATGTGCTGTTACCTGCAGTTTATTTACATTATTATTATTAATTAACAAAAATAGCATTCTATATATATAGCCATATTCTGTTTGCTTAATAAATTACATCAGTTATGTGGCATTTGGTATATTGTACAGAAATATGTAAATCTCTTAAAATTTGAAACTTGATAATTTAAAGTCGCAATTATTTCATCCCTTGAATTTCGAACTAATGAGGATTTCCTATATTATATCAAAAGAAAATATCTGACATCTTTTTTGAAGTTCAAATATACCAAGATCAATAGTATAACATCCATGAGGAACTTTTTGCTAATAATTAAGCTTCTATCAATTTCAACAAAACTGCAAACCTATTTAAAGGATGAACAGCAAAGTGCTATATCATCCTAATAACTTTTGGGTAAAGATGTCTAGGGTTATGGACCTATAAATCAATACTGAAACAACTTCTGAAGTAGTGGAGAAGCAAGACCAAATACAATGGAAACCATACCTATAGTCCTGTCTGACATGCTGTGCACTTGATTCTTTGGAGTTTAAATTTTAACATGGACAAAAATGTGTTAAGGTTTAATAAAAACTGTTTAATGGAATTTTTCATTCCATATTAGCATACCCCTTCTAAACTATGGGTATGGCAGATCAGAAGCCAAGTGGTAAAAAACATTTTACTCATGAGTATAATTAATAGATTTTAATGTAACTTGCTGAAGCTGCTGAAATCAAATTGCAAGTTTTCTATAAAATGCATTCTTTGAATAAAGTTTTACTAGTAACAAAAAAACAAGTTATTTTGTGACTAATAAATCTGAATTAGTCAACAGAATAGTCTCTGCCTAAAAAGTATTACAACAATGACATTTTTTTGTTTTAACCATTTGAAACTAATTAATAGTTTAACTACATTATCAAATATTTAAATTAAAATAGGATCAATCATTATTATTTTTTTATCCTTAGAATCCATTCTACATTTTACTAAAAATAAAAAAAAATTTACTTTGATTTCTAGAACTAATTAAAATTTATAAACATTAACTTAATGGATAATTAATTTCTTGGTATAAAACTTTATTCATTATTATTCAGTAATAAAAATGTATTAAAGGGATAAGCACATAGGACTAGTTGAAATTTTTAAAAATCAAATCAAAAGAATAGTAACTGAAAGTAAACAGCTAGTTGTTTAAATGTTTTATATTCACTGTTAAACAAGATTCATAATACTAAGTATAAACATAAAGTTTAATCTGTAGAAATTCAAGTTCTAAAGAATTAACTTAGCTGTTCAAACACATTTAGAAAAAAAATTTTTACACAATATTTTAATACCGGAAAAAAAGTGTTTATGCATTAAAGTTTGACTTACAACTTTTAAGTTTAATAAATCGTTTTTAACTCTTTCTAACTCTTCTTTTCTTCTTGCTGATAAAATTACTTTACTTCCTGCTGTATAAAATTTATGGGCAAGACCTAAAATTAAAATTTTATGAATATATTAGAATAAAATTATTTTATTAACAATTATTCAACATTAAAAATTTGATTATAAATCATCATTTGTATTCTTTAATTATTATGTTGGGTTTACTGAGTTATTCTCGGTTGACACCAGTTGTTGTATACTATGCTGCTGGACTAGAATCAAGACAAAGCAACCAAAACAAGACAAAAATTAAAAAACTGTGTCAGTGTGTCTGTATTCAGGAATTTCCTAACAATATGACATGTATTCAATATAGTAGCCTTCTGTAGTGTGATGTATGTGTTTCTATTCAATTGTAGTGTGCCCAGCTTATGTGTAGTGTGTGTGGTATGACACCTGTACAGGAAAGAACAACAGGTACAATAAGCACTTTATCCATCCTTCACAGATCCTATGGGAGATGGAAAACAATAAAGTCACTGGTTCCACACAAAATTTATATGTAAGGGATGATAACATCCAACACTTTACAAAGAAAATTAATGATTCTTTCCTTTACATTTATGGAAACTATAACACAAATGTAAAATAAAATAGTCACATATAAAATTATTAATTGATTATAGAGGTCTTTTACTTTCCCAGTTGTTATGTATATGTTACTGTGAAAGACCGACAATTGTGAATGTCGATATTCTCCGGTGAATGTCGACACATACAACTGTGTGAATGTTGACATTTGCCACATTTCGGTCATTCACAGTAACATATACATAACAAGGAAAGTATTGAAATTATGTCAAAGTTGACTCTTCAAGTTTTTGCAACTCNCAATTATTCAACATTAAAAATTTGATTATAAATCATCATTTGTATTCTTTAATTATTAGGTTGGGTTTAGTGAGTTATTCTCAGTTGACACCAGTTGCTGTGTACGATGCTGCTGGACTAGAGTCAAGATAAAGCAATCAAAACAAGACAAAAATTAAAAAACTGTCAGTGTAAGTGTGTCAGTGTGTCTGCATTCAGGAATTTCCTAACAATATGACATGTATTCAATATAGTGGCCTTCTGTAGTGTGATGTATGTATTTCTATTCAATTGTAGTATGCCCAGGCTTATGTGGTGTGTGTGGTATGACACCTGTATAGGAAAGAACAACAGGTACAATAAGCACTTTATCCATCCTTCACAGATGCCTTATTTCCTGGGCAACTTCTGTGTACTTGCTGATTTTTTCAGTGCATGTGTTTTGTACATTGTGTGTTTGGAATGGCTATGTCTATAATGTATGTGATTTCATTGTGTTTGTCAATGAGTGTGATGTCTGGTCTATTGTGATAAATTGTTTTATCTGTGACTATGGCTCTGTCGTAGTACATTTTGTGCATGTTGTTTTCCAATACTGACTATAGAATATACTTGTAGTATGGTTCATGAATGTCTACCAAGTTGTGTTTCTTTGCAAGCTCTTGGTGTATTATATTTGCTACTCGATCATGTCTATGTAAATAATCTGTGCCAAGAGCTTGCAACCAGAAGTGATGTGTTGTATAGTTTCTGGCATGATGTGACATTTTCTGCATGTGTCATTTGTGAGTGTTGTACCTTTGAGTATGTGTTTTCTGTAGTTTTTAGTATTTATGACCTGATCCTGTATGGCAATCATAAATCCTTCCGTCTCCCCAAAGAGGCATCCCTGAGCTAACCAGCTGTTTGACGCAGTTTTGTCAACAAAATCCTGGGCCAGGTCATAAGGATGCCTGCCATGGAGTGCCTTTTGAGCCCATGTTTGCTTGATGGTGTCTACATTTTTTGTGTGTTGTGTCATGTCTGTATGTGAGTGTAAGTTTAATGGTGTGCTATTTGAGTCTGCTAGAGTTACTGCTTTATGCAATTGTGATGTTTCTTGTTTCCTGTACTCACATACTGCCCAGTACATACATATGTCATCCCAGTACTCACATACTCCAAAAGAGTATGTGAGTACTGGGATGACATATGTGTTTATTGCTTTAACTGTGTGTTTTGCATTTAGCTGTGTTTTGAGAATGGCATTTAACCTACTTTGGTATTCTGAAATTCCNCACTTTACAAAGAAAATTAATGATTCTTTCCTTTACATTTATGGAAACTATAACACAAATGTAAAATAAAATAGTCACATATAAAATTATTAATTGATTATAGAGGTCTTTTACTTTCCCAGTTGTTATGTATATGTTACTGTGAAAGACCGACAATTGTGAATGTCGATATTCTCCGGTGAATGTCGACACATACAACTGTGTGAATGTTGACATTTGCCACATTTCGGTCATTCACAGTAACATATACATAACAAGGAAAGTATTGAAATTATGTCAAAGTTGACTCTTCAAGTTTTTGCAACTCTATGTTTTAAGACCCCCTGAACAAAAACAAAAATTTAGTATATGTGTATGTTGGTGTCTATTTTGTTTAATATCTCAGGATGGGGTAAAGATTAAGAAACAAAATTTGGCATAATAGCTTGTACATAAAGGGAAATTTATGTTATTAAATTTTGGTGGTTAAAGATGAAAGGGTGACATAATTTATCTTGACAGGGGTTGGACTTAATGAAGATTTTACTTGTTATTAGCATTTACAATTTTTTTTTATAAAACTTGTCACTACCATCAAAACTAAGATTTTTGTCACTTTATAATAATTAATAATATAAAAAGTTGTTATAATACAATATCATAACAAATGGTGTCACATAAAATTTTATTTATTATGAATAATAACATAAAAGTTACTTTTGAAATAAAATCTCATAACAGCCAGGAAAGTTATACAACTCATTAGATACATAATTAAAAATCTAGCAAGATAAGTTGAGTTAAGCTCAAAAAATCTTTCTTCACATATCAAATGTCTGTTACAATTATTGAAGAACTTTACTTTCTGGATCTTCATAAGTTTAAATCCATCTGTAAAAAACTCCTTTATGTTTGATCTACTCACTAATTTTCCTGCCATTCACAAAAATGTTCTTTTAATTTGTTTTATGTGTTTAATTTTACTCTTTGGGACTGTTATATGTTTGTTATTCGGGGGGTCAGCCATTATTGTCATTACGACATCGTTTTATTTATTTATTTCACAATTACATACATGTATTAAACATTTTATGTTTAACACATTTAAATATAAAAAAAGACCTCTATAATCAATTAACAGTTTTTATATATGAGTAAAGGTTTGGATAAAAGATTGAAGACATTATATTTTATTTTATACAGTAATTCTTCATTATATGGTGCTTGTCAGAAGATAAAGAAAAAGTGCAATATATCTGACAGTATGATATAACAATACTGAAAATTCTGGGTTTATACTAAACAGATTGTACANTGATGATTTTAATTGCTTTTGCTGGAATTTTATCCTACAATAAAAATGAAAAATTCTTACGAGAATTATAAATTCAATATATAAATTAATATGCTATTGAGTGTCAACTATGAAATGCCTGATTTATTAAACAGACTTTAACGATACATTGTATACAAACAGAACAACACATTTGATCAAGAATATAATTGCCTCAATTTCTATAACTTTCTCCCATCTCATTACAAACTTCTGGATTCATTGCAGAAGTGAAGCTGCAATCATTCTCTTTGAATGTGGTTTCATTTGGAAAGCTGTTGTGGAATCTAAATGTCTACTCTTGAGACTGCCAATTTCTTGCAGGTGAACATTGCCTCCTGAGATCACTTCAAAATGTTTGTATAACATCTTGTCTTGGGGTAGATTCCACAAGAGTTTCTAAGGTGTACATTGGGGAAGGACACTGAATCATAAAATAAAATAACTATGTAACCAGATAGGAAAATGTAACATTCCTGTCTCAATGTAGTTGTTTCCATTATATGTATACAAAGTAAGGTGCACTGAGAAATGAACATTTCATAGTTGACAACACAATCTATACTATATGTATTTAAAAAACAATTCAGATTTAAAAACTATAATTTAGTAAAATTTAAATTTTTAAAAAATATACCATATCAAATTTAAAAATAGTAATATTAATTCAATATCAATATTTAACTTTTAACAGAATCTGTATTGTAGTGCTTGTTCGTTAATCCTTTTAAAATAATTCCTTTTCTTAAGAAACACCAAGAGGTGATGATGTTTATTACAAAGGATATGAAGCAATTGTTAAATTATTGCTTTTGTCTCACATGCAATCCATCATCCAAAATTTTGCCAACCTTCAAGCTATGTTCTCAATCAGTCAAAAGAATGCATGTCAACCATGCATGCTTGATAATGTGGCCTTCTGCCTTTATTATTTTATATCTTTATTAGGGAGCTTAGCCCCATGAGTTTTACCCTCTTCTTCAAAAGTTTTGTGACAATTCATTGATTCGTGGTGATGCCTTTTTCATTATTTTTTTCTTGAAGGAAAAATGTCCTTGACAATTTTAAGATAATTATATTGTGTGACAATTGCTCATCATTTCTGTATATAAAATTAAATTGTTGGTTCAAAGTCTTTGTTTATAAGCTTCTAGAATGTTCCATTTCACACTATTGCCTGGAGGGACAATAAACCCAGTGGAGGAGCAGGAGAGGGCATATATTGACTCAGGCCTGTCTTTGGTACGTGTGAGGCCCTGGGCCAAGAAAAGCTTTGAGGCCCCTTAAGGAATTCATAATGGAGGGTTAATATTTATAAATTTTTTCAATTAGCTTTCTCTGCTAAACATATTGTTATATTTATGTTTAATAAAATTTATCAAACATATTTTTTGATTGTTTACTGTTTATAATAATTTTATTGCTTGTTACTCTATTCAATTTTGCATATTTTCAAGGTCTTGAATGTTAGGCAGCCCATGCCCAGCCTAGTAGGCCCACACTTAAAGACAGGCCTGTATTGACTCAGGCCTGTCTTTAAGTGCCGACTCTCTCTTTTATTTTTCAGTGCCGTTACAGGAAGCACATGAAGGTGACCAGTGACAATAGGACTGTGCAAAGGAAGATGTTCAGATGGTATTCAAATATTACAATGCTTTAGGTTCCTGTTACACACAGACATTTTGTCTTTTCATGACAATTATGTATTAGTCTAATCCATGAATTTTCTTATGTGACAATCCTACCATCAGTAGACAATCGAAAATACAAGGGAGAGGAACTCATGTACTAGCACTTCCTCTTCCTTGTACTTTTAATTGTCTACTGATGGTAGGATTGTCACGTGAGAAAATATGCTCAAGTTCCTCAAATTTTCGTGTTGCATATTTTGATTGAAGCAAAGTTCATTGACTCTGTTTCAATCAACAAGATGACCAGGAGAAAACAGAAATTATGCAACATGAAAATTTGAGGAACTTCTCACATACTAGTACTTCCTCTCCCTTGTATTTTTTGAGGTTGCTAAATTCAAAGAAATTTACCTGACAATAAAAAATTTAAGGATTTTCTTCAACAAGTATCAGGTACCAGTAAAACAGTGAAATGAAATTATATTATTTATAAAAATAGAACTATATTTTTTTACAAAGACAACTGTCTGTATTAATACAGAGGATGAATTACGGCTTGCGATTTCCAATACAGATCCAAAAATAGATGTAATCATGAGCTCTTTGCAAGTGCATACCTCACATTGAATTCTTATGATGTAAAGTTTTTTAAAAGTATTTTTCATTAAATAAATATTTATACCCATATGCATAAATAAAACCATTGTTCCATAAAATTATGTTTTATTCAGATCGCTAATAAGGCAGAAACATAAGTGCAAATCTCAGAAAGAATCACACTTCAATTATGTTGATGATTAAAAAACATCTGCTGTCTATCCAGGGGTTGCGACAAAATTTTATACAAAATGGGGGATCGGAAATAAAAATAATTTGCACACTACTGGTCTAGAGGCTAAAGGAACAGAAAAGACAGGATGAGAGAAAAGATGAGAAAGAGAAGGAAAAAAATTCCACTAGAGTACTGAGCAAACAAGGTGAATCGGAGGAAAAAACTTATTTACAAGATATGGTAACATCTATCATTTACAAAGAAATAAGTCCGTTTCCTTAATATATGTGGAATTAGTAACAAAAACAATTTTTTATTCAAATATATTTGTTTTATATAGCTCTTGTTGTTTTAGTAACTCTGAGAAATACATAATAGTTGAAAATATAAAAATAAATCAATCATTTCACTACCAGACTGTAGTGGAACAGTATAGCAAAAAATAATGCAATTCTTAGATAGTATTTTACAAGCCTATGGGAGATGGAAAACAATAAAGTCACTGGTTCCCCATAAAATTTATATATAAGGGATGATAACATCCAACACTTTACAAAGAAAATTAATGATTGTTTCCTTTACATTTATGGAAACTATAACACAAATGTAAAATAAAATAGTCACATATAAAATTATTAATTGATTATAGAGGTCTTTTACTTTTCCAGTTGTTATGTATACATAACAAGGAAAGTATTGAAATTATGTCAAAGTTGACTCTTCAACTTTTTACAACTCTACGTTTTGAGACCCCATGAACAAAAAACAAAAATTTAGTGTATGTGTATGTTGGTGTCTATTTTGTTTAATATCTCAGGATGGGGTAAAGATTAAGAAACAAAATTTGGCATGGTAGCTTGTACATAAAGGAAAATTTATGTTATTAAATTTTGGTGGTTAAAGATGAAAGGGTGTCATAATTTATCTTGACAGGGGTTGGACTTAAGATTTTACTTGTTATTAGCATTGACAAGTTTTATAAAAAAAAATTGTAACTACCATCAAAACTAAGATTTTTGTCACTTTATAACAATTAATAATATAAAAAGTTGTTATAATACAATATCATAACAAATGGTGTCACATAAAATTTTATTTATTATGATTAATAACATAAAAGTTACTTTTGAAATAAAATCTCATAACAGCCGGGAAAGTTATACAACTCATTAGATACATAATTAAAAATCTAGCAAGATAAGTTGAGTTAAGCTCAAAAAAATCTTTCTTCACATATCAAATGTCTGTTACAATTATTGAAGAACTTTACTTTCTGGATCTTCATAAGTTTAAACCCATCTGTAAAAAACTCCTTTATGTTTGATCTACTCACTAATTTTCCTGCCATTCACGAAAATGTTCTTTTAATTTGTTTTACGTGTTTAATTTTACTCTTTGGGATTGTTATATGTTTGTTATTCAGGGGGCCAGCCATTATTGTCATTACGACATCGTTGTATGTAATTGTGAAATAAAATTGTGAAGTAAATGTATTAAACATTTTATGTTTAATACATTTAAATATAAAAAAAAAAAAGACCTCTATAATCAATTAACAGTTTTTATATATGAGTAAAGGTTTGGATAAAAGATTGATGAAGACATTATATTTTATTTTATAGATTAATTCTTCATTATATGGTGCTTGTCAGAAGATAAAGAAAAAGTGCAATATATCTGACAGTATGATATAACAATACTGAAAATTCTGGGTTTATACTAAACAGATTGTACATGCTATGAAATCTCTAACCTCTATTTTTTTCTTCAGCAAGTGTTTCTGATATAAAATAAGATTAGTTTTTCAATTTGAATTTTATTTGTGGTTATACTGTATTAATTTGATGTTTACATAAACATCAATACCACAAATGCCCATTTAGCATTATTGTTTCTTTAACAATGACATTTAAAAACACTGTCGATATAAAAATAAAATACATGAGTTGCAATTTTATTGTACAGTACTATATTTCATAATAAATTGCTTAATGAAAATGCATATGATTTATATTTTTCAATAAAAATTATAAATACAGTATTTGAAAATTTAAAAAATAAATATTAAATGTATAATAGATCATCAAAACTTACAAAAAAATTCTCTAAAAAGCAAAATAACATTACTACTGTATAAAAATTTTAGAACTTTCTGTTCAGAAATAAAGAAATCTTTTCCTTATACATTACCTGTGTATTCGAACTTTCACATCTTTATGTGAATTGACACAATACCTTCAATTCACATAAAGGTGTAAAATTCAAATTCACAGAAATTTGTAAATGAGAAGACAGTACTTGAAGCCAGTAAATAAATAACTTTTAATAGCAAAAGGAAACAAATGATAATTGATCTGTCCATCTGTTTTGCTTATTTAGATCTTGAGAATTTACTGTTTCATTCGCTCTGGTAGTTTCAAGGACAATGGTAGAATAAAATACCATATTTCATTACAAAAAGAAATTCAAATGGCAATTGATAATTTAAAATTTATTGACTCAAGTGCTTTTAAAATTTGGGGACCCAAAAAAGCACATGGCTCAACTTAAACATCTGGAAAAACTAGATATACAAAGCAACTGAAAGATCAACAGCCATCAACTACAAGACAAAGGCAATTTCTCTGGCATGGAAGTCTTTTTTTTTCAAAGTACAGTAATGGAGGCTATTTCATCTCCAAAAACATGGTCACTGGTTTATTTGAAATGACACATGCAGTCAAAGTCAATAAAATAATGTTCCATTTTTACTTTCTCGGCTGTTATATATAATAGAGGAAAAGTATGGTAATCAGTCAAAAAATGATCCTCCAGATTTTTACATTTTTGGACTTGAGACCTTAAAATGTCAAGATATTTCACGCTTATATTTCTTATATGCATTACATACTGGTAACAGGTTCAGGAAAGTGATGAAATGTCAAGAAATGCAAAAAACAAATTCAGGGTTTTTTGTACGTATGGATGTTAGTATGTGTGTGGGGAGGCAAATTTTGTTCACCCACTTTAAAGCTTAATAACTCCTGTGCTTTTTGGGAAAAATTTCTGAAATTCTGCATGGAGGTTTGTTTATTAGGGGGATTGAGGCTATTAAATTTTAGTAATTAAAAGGTTAAGGGGTGGGTAGATAAAGAGGATCATGTCATATCTCAAGTAGTGTCTGACTTAATGAGGATTTTACTTGTTATTAGTATTTACAATTTTTTATAAAACCCATCCTTACCCTCAAAATTAAGTCTTTTTGTCATTTTATAATAATTAAAAATACAAAAATATTTTAAAAATAAAATATCATAACAGATGGTGCCAAGAAAGTTAAGAAACTTGTTGCTAAATTTTTTAAAAATTATGTTCTAATTACATTCTCCTATCAACTTTATTACATTTAAAATCCACAGATGACTGATTCAGATGGTCAATAATATTTGTTTACTAATTAAATATTCCTTTACGACTGCGTTATTGGTACTTGCTTGTTTATTTACTGCATCATTATATGAGCTGTTTATTAATTTTGTATTTTCATTAAAAATGTCTAAAAATTCCAACAGACAAAATACATTAATTAAGATTTTATTTCTTAAAATGTTTTTTGTAAATATTTATGTTGTATATACTCATATAGTCTACCTATTAATCAGTGCCAATACTAAAATGATACTGACCAGCCATTTGTGGTATATAAATTTAAATTCAAAAATGTTGTGTTTTATTAAATTATTTAAAATTTGGAATTTGAGTAATTTAATTATATAATAATAAATGTTAATTATTGTCAATTTTTTTGTTCAATATTTAAAAGTTTTTCAAATTTACTTTCAGCAGATAATTTTTTTTTTTAACTCTTTAAATATGAGATAAGCCAAAATCACCTTAATCCATTGGAGACAAAATCATCTGAAGAAAGTTGTTTGACTGATTTTGCTGTACAAATTTCCCTCACAGTCTAAGAGATAAAAACAATTTCATCTCCAGGTACATAGAAAAGAAATTTTTGGAGTTTAAAGAGTTAAATATTAAACAATAAGCATTTTTAGCAAGTAAAAAATCTTCAGTAATTAGTACATGTTTATTTAAATTATAAATTTCTTAACTAAAAAAAAGTTTTTAATGAAAAAGTTTAAAAATAGTCTAAATTATGTTTATAACTAAGAGGAAAAATGTAGTAAAATTTTTATGTATTTAATAAAATAAACATAAACAGACTTACTTTCTCCTAAACCTGAGCTAGCACCTGTTATTAAAACAACTTTATCTTCCAGATATCGATTTCTACGAATTTTGTTCTTCAATCGGGAATTATAGAGCTGATAAACTAGCCAAGGAAATACAACAGGTAAACATATTCCTCCAATAACTAATCTAAACCAATACTTTATGCTTGATATCATTTCAGCCTAAATAAATAAATTTATGTTTTATTTATTTATAAAAATATAAGTTATTAATCAGTTTAAAATAAAACTTATCTATTAGGAGTATGATATTTTTGTGCATAATAGCATATAGTAAAAATGAAGTGACATGGTGTGAGGATGACTAAGTTAACCCAGTCATCCTCAAAACATCTTGTAAATAATTGTATACATACAGAAACAAATTCAATGACAATTGATTAGATAGCATAAAAATTTATAAAATTTTATTGACTATATAGTTTTATTTGTGATTGACTTGATTGCACAGATCCTATACAAAATATTAATATGCATTTTGTGATATCATAATTTTCAAATCCTTTTCAGGATCCATAAGTGTATATGTTACTGTGAAAGATCGAAATTACAGAATGTTGATATTCTCCGGTGAATGTCGACAAATACAAAATAAGTAGGTGAAAGTCCGAATATTTGGTTATATTATTATACATTCGAACAATCGCCGGTGTATGTTAGCATTTGTATGATAATTTTTAATATATCCTGAACAAAATATTAATATGCATTTTGTGATATCATAATTTTCAAATCCTTTTCAGGATCCACAAGTGTATATGTTACTGTGAAAGATCGAAATTACAGAATGTCGATATTCTCCGGTGAATGTCGAGAAATACAAAATAAGTAGGTGAAAGTCCGAATATTTGGTTATATTATTATACATTCGAACAATCACCGGTGTATGTTAGCATTTGTATGATAATTTTTAATATATCCTGAAATTTTTTTGGAAATTTTTCTTTTCTTCAGTGCCTCTTTTTCACCCTTCTGCCTTGCTTACTGGCTTATTCCAGAATGAACATGAATTGTATTTAAATAACAGAATAGCTTTCAATTTAACAGTGACCAAACACAATTCAAACTGTATATGCGTGCTAATCAATTCCATTTAATTTTAACCTTTGAAATTTATAATGAATAATCAAAAAAAGTTATATAAGTCTCCTGTTCAGTGTTTTTTACTATTTGTGAATATATCACTAGTCATAATTCATTTTATAATAGATGTTATAAGTTATGTAATACTTATATTTATGATATTTATTAATCATTACTAACAGAGGTAAAAACTTAAAATATGAATGTTTAATATAAAAACAAGAAACTAAAACAATTTACAAAAACATAAATAAGAAAATAGTTTAATTTCTAAATATAAAGTATTCATGCTTATATTCAAATGGAATTCAGTTTGTTAAAATACTGTTTTAAGAACTTATTTTTATAATAAATAATAAAATGCACAGAAATATGACTAAATTGTCAATACTCTTTTTCACAAGTGCAGTAACATTAACTGTGGACAAAATAATAATATTGCATACAATTCCTTTAGGATGATAGCAAACAGGCAGCATACATCTATGCATATTGCATGCTTGCTATCATCCTAAACATACTTGACATTTTCACGTGCTTATCTATCAATGGGCTAATAATCTATTGCCTTACACTTTTCCTTTACATAAGAATTATAGGCAGCAGACAGACCGACAAAAAAAATTGAATAAGAGAAGAAAAGTCAAGTAAGTCTCTTAAAAGTTTGATTCTTCCAATATAAAATTGTTAGATAACATTAAACTATGACAATATTTAAATATACTGTTATACTAAACTGTAGTTGAAATTAACAGTTTACAGTATTTTAGCATGTAACAATGATTTGTTTATAAATTTGCAATATGTAATTTGAAAAATTATTTTACATTATTTTTGTGCATTTTGTAATATTTAATCTAATCTAATTTAATAATTATTTTATAAAAGAAACTTAAATTCTTCAGCTTCATTAAGAAAATTATTTTCATATTACATAAACATAATATATTTGCAAACATATCTGTAATTTTTGAAAGATGCCAATAACAGCACCAAGTTTTATATACTAAAAAATATTGGAAGAACATGTAACTGATATAAAAAGGAGAAGAAATTTCCTGACAGAAGCAGATAAATTTCTCCAAGTAATTTTTCAGTATACAAACATTTCAGAAGTTACTTTCTACATAAAACAAATGATTAAAGGTAACTTCTATTAAAAATTTTCTTTCACAAACCAAAATTTGTCTGTTGCAATTCATAAAAAAAAAAAAAAAATAGCTGTTAGGAAACTTTAAGTAAACAAGACCATTGGAACTGATATGGCTGATTATGAAACAACATTTCTGTTAATAATAATAGTAATCGATTTTGTGTAATAGATCATTAAAAGTAACTTTTTATTTAATTTCGTTTCGTTCAATATTCTTTAACGATAAATGTAAAAATCAATCATTCAGATTTACCATAAATTAATACATTTAAAATCCCGAATGTTTTAAAACACGTAAGCGACAGTTATTAAAATAATTTTATTTCTTGTCAAGGACGAAGTTTAGTTTTAAAAGAAATCGTCCCATGTATGAAGGATGGACTTTTATCCAAAAATTATTCAAATATATCAAATTAAAATACGAAATATTAAATGTAAATCAAGGAAAATTCTTAATAATAGATTCCACGTGACCGCTCGCATATTAGTAAATTTCAAAAATGTCTGTTTCACCTGAATGTCTTCATCCATCTTGCTTCGTTTTCATAAAAAATAATTTATTATATTTCAATTTAATACTTTGATGTCTCGAAACTATTAACTTGTTAAAAAAAATACTTAGTTGTTAGTTTTTATCTTTACAGATAAAATTTGAATTTTTAAGTTTTCGTTTATTTATTATTTTGAGAATTATTTTATTCGCTTTTCTTTTAATGCATTTATGATTTTTGAAAATTAATTTTTATACAAATACACTTTTCTTTATTAATTTGCATTTTTTTAAAATCTCGTGCAACCAATAGAAATGGATTGTTATATTCCTTGAATTTGTTTAATTAAGTCCCAAGTATTCTAGGACCTTAAACATGCATGGCGTATACTACATAGCGCTAACACGTTACAAAAGCCCAGCGCACAGCTTATATAGATCATTATAATCTATTTACAGTACGCGTGACCGTATTTGTTCAATGATACATTGAGTTTGCTACATAGTATAGCGTTATAGTGCTATACACTGTATTATAGCGCTATACAGACTGGCGCATACCAGTCGTTAAGCGGGTAGTAATTATAGAACGTATCAGAATCTATACTTATTCATTAATCAAAAGTAAAGAGTAAAGAATAGTTACTGTATGTTCAAACGTGCAATAACTATGAATTTTTTACTACCTGGTATACAGAAAATATAGAAAACTTCTGTTATAATCATGGCTGTGGAGGAGTCTGTAAATATGGACTGACTCCGTTTTTTAAATGTACAGTACTTTATATGAAGTTCTTAATAGGAATGTTAATTTTCTAACTTATAAGAACCTCTTGTAATGCAAGCTCTTATGATGATTCCTCTACTTCACGATCTTTGTATATCACTAATTACTATTGATTTTTATTTCAGAAATTTATATTCTAATGCCTTCTGTTAGCTAATTCTAAATTTTTATTGTCATACAAATACAAGACTCATACAAAATGGCTACGAAGACTCAGATTAAATCTAGTGTTTTTGATACTTTACTATAACCACAGAGGAAAACATTGTGTCAATGTGTGGTTGATGATGATGTTAGCAATGATAACGAAAAAGTATGAAAAAAAGGCGTACTTTCAATTTCGATAATGTCTGAGATTCGTTTAATTAAATGTTTAAAAAGTTCATTGATGATTCATTTTGTAACGATGAAATACCATTCTAGGTTAATATAATCAAAGTATATTTTAAATTCTTATTTGGAGGCAGGATCGAATCAGATTTTCTAAAATTCTGAATCGGAGTCGGAGCCGAGGGCTTATCTACCGAGTACATAGCCCTGATTATAATTATTTTATGGTTTGTTATCCTGGCACTATTTATAATCAAAGATGAAACTACATTAATGTACAGTAAGACCTCGCTTAGCGTTCCTAAACGACAAAGCGCTAAGCGAAACAGCGTTAAACTATGTCACTTTAACAAAATAGGGAAAGGGGAACACTCGACCAAAAATAAGCAAATTTTACTATAATTTTAAGTTATTTTTATATTAATTTTCATAATAATATACGTTAAATAACACATAAACACATGCATACAGAAATGTAAAGTTCAATTTTTGTGACGAAGGTCATGGCTTTTCTGAAATTCTTGTTTTTTGCGATAAAGTCGTGTAGTTTCATTTGTCGCTTTTTTTCTTTCCCTAAGTAAATGTTGGTAGCAGGAGATCGCATCCAAAACGTCTCGTTTTGCTCACTCCTTTCTTTTACTCCTTTCAAAATCTGGATCATTCGCTACAATTTGATCAACGATTTCGGTTATCGTTACAAAACTTTTACTAAGGAAATCTGTAGCAACTTCTTTGGGTAGGCTACTTCGTTTTCAGAAGCTCTATTTTCCAGCTCTACATGAATTCCTTGTTCTACATGTTCTCGAAGGTCGTCGTTAGCAACGCTCTCACCAGAAACCTGTAGTAACTCCTTAATATCCTATTCTTGCTTTATCGCTGTGTCGTTAGGTTGACTAAATTGTCAACCTAACGACACAGCGATAGGCTCTTGTCGAAAATTCTTGGATACCTTCAGCATAATTTCTACACTGTTCATGCATTTATCAGTTAATTCTTGCCAAGCGAAGTCGATATTGCCTATGGCATCCATGATGATATATATTTTTTCCAAAATTGCACAAAACAAACATAGATTTAAGGAAAATACGGCGCTGCCACGAACTGCCACGTTTTGCCGATTGATTCGTGATTCGTGATAGTAAATCAATGAAATGCCACGTTAATTTGAGTCAGCGTTAATTTTGAGCGTTTTTTACGCTTCGAACAGACCGCGTTATATTGAATCAGCGTTAATCGAGGTCTTACTGTATAAGAAATAGATTTTATTTTTGAATTTCGAATGGAAATTATAAGAATTATGAATCTTATCTAGCCTGTGGTAGGCCTGCAGTCTATGTCAGAGATGCCAAACTTTTTGAGTCTGCGTTATATATTTATGCATTACTATCTTCAGAACAATTTGTGTTTATTTGAAAAGTTATGGCAACGCAACACTTGGGCAATCTGCCTAGGGGGATGCCTTCCGGGAGACTCTTTTTAAGGGAAACTGACCTCTATTTAGGCGTTTCAGACGGAGAAAACCCGGAAAACGCCACGTGGTCAGCCAAGCGAGGCGCGAACCCACGACCGAACTCCCAGCGTTCAGGGTACGAAGACCGCACGGCAACAAAGCGCTTTGTGACCCGCATCTTTAAGTAAAGTCACCATGCGCCACCTGCATTAATTTTAAAATCAAAATAAAAATTTATATTTTGTTTAAATATCGGATTTATGTTTTTAATTTAATAAAATGATTTAACAACACGTTATTAAGTGAATATAATATATATATTTTAAAGTTATATTCTTTTTATGAAAATTATATTTATTTTTATCTGTTCGTTAAATTTTCTGCCAATAGATGGCGCTACGTTAAAAACGAACACTACGGATGAGGATATAAATCAATTGATTTACAGAAACCCAATAGTTATTTTGGAATGCGATGTTCGACATTATGTAAGTTAGCTGTGTGTGGACGTAACTGCCGAGATGAATGATATTTTAAAGAAAGAAAAAAAAAGTCGACTGGGGGCACGAACCCAGGACTGCATTGCTGCAACGCAAGCCTGATGGAGGAGCGTTTGAGAGGAAAAAAAAGAAAAAGGCGGCATGTGGGTTGGAACCCAGCTGCACGCTGCAAGGCAAGCCTGATAGCGGACCGTTTGAGGGGGGGAAAAAAGTCAACTGGTGGTTCGGACCCAGACTGCTCGCTTCACATACGCCTATGACGGCAGAGCGCAGCTGACCCGACCACCAGCGTCCTCAGCCACAATAACGATGTTTGTTCTATTTATACTTAAACTAAAGTACACGCAGTGCCACCTATTACCAAAAAATTTAACAAACCGTTATTAAGTGATCATCTACTTTATATAAAAGCGGAAAACCGGTTTCTGACACGGTATTCCAAAAACGGCCACTAGGGGCGCCCCTAGCTATTGTTTTATATGTTTACAATATATTATTATTTGTTTGAAGTTAATTTTGAAGGATGTTATGGGTAGAAAATTTTAAATTTGATTAAAAATCTGTTTCTTTTTTTCCAATTATTTGAAATTTAAGCGCTAGTCTAAATAAATTATGTATTTTGTTGTAATTAATTAAAAATTTCATCTCATCTGGACTCTAGCAATTTTCTTTAAAAGAGAGGGGGCCAGCCATGACCTAAATCGATAAACTATAATCTACAATAGACTGAATGAAAATTTATGAAAAACAATAATGCGTAACACATTATTCAATGAGATATGTTTACAGAATCGCTAGAGGATTATTTGTATAACCTTAACCTTGTATTATTTAACTTTAATGTTAAATTAGACAAACCAGTTATTTTAAAATGTACTACAATAATACATATTTTTATTCTTAAAACTATTCTAAGCATTATATGTGTAATATATGGCATAAAATTGCTATTCATATGCATAATTATATTTACTATGGTATAAAAAGTGATTTACCATATAAAATATTTGTAATTTTTAATCTGAATTGGCCCTGGCTGTTTTCAGTCCACATTATCTTAGATAATTAGAGTTCTACTGTATTATTTAATTGTTTAATAATATGGTTTTACAAATAAACAAGTAATTTAATATTTTATGTAAAAGTAGTTTAAATGCCAATTAAATTTTGGCTATTGGTTACAACGAGTTGGGCATTAGCTACAACGGCTATATTGCGGCATGGAAAGTGAAAATTCAGTGGATAGTATTAGTAATGCTAGGTGGCTAGGTGGCACCGGAATAATGCCTTCGGAGAGGTCTTCTTAATAATACA